ATCCGCCTGGCTCTGCCTCCCGAGTGCTGGGATTAAAGGCGTGCGCCACCAACGCCCGGCATAAATAAATAAATCTTAAAAAAAAAAACATCAAGTCAAGAGTAAACTAGAAGGGCTGTGGGGTAGAGCCATGGCAGTTAGATGCTTACCGCTCTGGAGGACCCTGGTTCAGTTCCCAGCACTCACAACTGCTTGTAGGTCCAGTTCCAAAGGATCCTGACAGCTTCTGGCCTCTGCAGGTACCTGCATTGCCCATAGTGCACATAAACTCACATAGGAACACACAGATAAATAAAAACAATACATCTTTAAAGGGGGGGGTGTGCTTACCTCATTTGCACGAGGCACTCAGTTTAATACCCACTACTACCAACAAAACCTCAACTAACCAACAGAGTAAAACCACACTAAAGAACAATTGAAGACAGTAGCACTCATCTGCATGCCTGTTTCTTTCTCCAAGGGCAGCTGGAAGCCATTGCTGAGTTGCCGGGTGCCCCCCCCCACTTCATTTGAATCATATATAACACTGGTCAATAGGGAGATTGGGTTTCTTTCTTTCTTTTTTTAAAACCTTATGCAAAGTATGTTGTTTACCTTTGGTGTGGTTGGTTGGAGTCCTGACTTCTCAGCAGTTTGTCAGAACGCTGCATTGGGAAATGAGATCCTTGCACTGAGCCATCGTCCTACATGGAAACAGGATTCAGTCCTTGTCCCAGTTGTATAGCTTTGGTCAGATGGTATCTTAGACTCCTAGATATAGTGGTGACGTGTGGAGCAAGCCTGCTCCACCTGTGTTTAACAGAGCCCTGAAGGCTCGTCTGACATTTTACTACAAAGACCTTATGTATTTGATAGATGTTTAATAACTGCAGAGACTTCTTTTCTTGAAACTGGAAGCACTAACAGTCAGATTTCTTGGCACAAAATCACTAGAATAGTATGTCAGACAGGGTCACTGGGAACATTTCTTATTGTCCTTGCTCTTCGGGGTTTGAGGCGCTTTCCTTTGGTACTGTGGATGGAACTCAGGGCCTTGCACATAGTCCTCAGCGTGAGATTTCAGACTTAGAGGTTGCAAGAACCGTCCAGAGGACACTTGCGTATTTTAATTTTAATTTTTTATATTTTTTATTTTTTGGTTTTTCGAGACAGGGTTTCTCTGTGTAGCTTTGCACCTTTCCTGAGACTCACTTGGTAGCCCAGGCTGGCCTTGAACTCACAGAGATCCGCCTGGCTCTGCCTCCCGAGTGCTGGGATTAAAGGCGTGCGCCACCACCGCCC